GTAGATCCTAGAACAGTGCCTGGCACATAGTAGATAGTCAATAAATATTTGTGGAAGGAAAACAAAGTGGGAGAGACAGGAGGAGGGGAGGAAGAGAGGAGAGAAAGTAAAGGAGAAAAGAAGAGAAGAAGTTTTCATCTAAGAACTAACAGAAAGGGTCCATCCTGGTTCCTGCCATCAGCTGAAAATACCTTAAGTACAATTCTACACAAGACCCTCCTTGCTCATCAGTCCTCTATAGCTCCCCACTGTCTAATGGAGCAGACAATGCAGCCTGGCATTCACAGCCCTGCACAAGCTAGAACTAATGGAATCTTCCTGCCTCATCTCCTTCCCCTGCACACACCTAAACCCAAGCCGTTTTCAGGGATTCTGCTGAAGCTCATGGCTCCCTACCACTGCCCTCTGTGAATCCGAGTCATGAAGCCATCCTCCAGGTCCTGACACAGTGGGATTTGAATCCTGGCCTCTCTGTGGACTGCCTTGTCCCAAGAGTGAAGAAGGAGACACTTGGGGAGCCTTCGGGACAGTGCCCAGCACAGAGGCTTCTCAATCTCAACAGCAGTGCCACTGTGGGCTGGATCCTTTGTGGTGGGGCCATCCTGTTATTACAGGAAGTGGAGCAGCATCCCTGGCCTCTACCTATCACCTGCTAGGAGCAACCACAGGTGTGACAACCATGTCTCTACACATTGCCAGATGTCCTCTGGGTAAGGCTGCCAGATCCAGCAATGTATACTTATACTAAAAATTATTCATGATCTGAAATTCAATTTAATTGTGTGACCTACCTGTATGTCATCTGGTAACCCTACCTGGGGGGAAAAATTAAGAACCTTCCTTATGAACCACTGGGTTGAAGTGGAATCACCTTGGCATCCCAGTAGTAACATCAGTGGTTTCTCTCACTTTCCTCCTACCTTCTTAGAAAGTCCAGCCCACCTCCCCCATCCTATGGCCTTCCAGGGCACCGGAGGCTCAGCTCCCCAAACAAACCCAGCTCAGCCCTTGTGTTGAAGGATCCTCCTGTCTCCTTCCTGGGGTCTGCCCTCCGGCCAGCAAGCCCCTGCCTTCTTTCCTCCAATTAAGTGGCCTCCTAGTCCCAGCCTGGAGGCAGGAAAACAAGGCCGTTAGTCACTTTGCTTCCTTTATCAACTCTGAGTCACATGGCTAGCTCCTTTAATGGCAGTCGTCATGGCAACGGGAAGCCAGTGCCTGCTCTCTCTGGAAACCAAAACAAAATTAAGTGGTGGAGGTGGGGAGAGAAAGGAGCCAGGATAGCGCTGGTTGGGTTTACTAGTAACTGGAGGAAATCATGCTGGGTCAACCCTGTCTCCAGCTTTCCCTTGGTGGCATCGGGGAGATGGAAAAATAAGATGCCTGCCTGGTAAAGCGCAGGCTAATGTGGTGGGTGTTTGCACATTGTTTATCCTGATGGTTGAGTAATTTTCATCTCCAGTATGAATAAACTGAAGCCCAGACACTTGGGAATGGAAAGAGGGATGCTCATCTGAGACTGTGCAACTTACAAGCCATCAATGTCAGCTTCACCCTCTTCTTTCCATGTTCCCCAAGTCCTCCCCACTCCTTCCCTCTCGCTTTTAGGACAGGACCAAGTGCTCGTCCACATTGTTCTCCTTTCTCTTGGAACTCCCCCTACTCCGAGTCCTCCCGTTACTCATGTTCACAGTGCTCCCTCCAGCCGCAGATGCAGTTCCCTCTGCCAGGAATGGTTTTCTTCTGTCTCTTCTCACTTCCTACCTTCACCTGAAAGGCTTACTCATCACCCTGGCCGGGGAGCTCAGTTGGTTTGAGTGTCAGCCCCCTACGCCAAGGTTGCAGGTTCGATCTTCAGTCAGGGCACATACAAGCAGCAACCAATGAATGCGTAAATAAGCAAATCAATGTTTCTTTCTTCCTCTCTTTCTCCCCCTTTCCCTCTCTCTTTCAAAAAAAATCAATAAAAATAAATGCACATATCCTTCACATATCTTAAGCATAAGGTAATTTAAGATATGGAATGCATGCAGTTACTGCTCTGTTAGGTTCTTGTGCTGCAAAGTACCTCTCCTTCAGACCGTGGTGCACAGCCTGTAATTATCTTTTTAATTACACTCGGAACGTCTGTTGGGGGCTGTCTCCTGTACTAGAAAGTCAGCCCCAGGAGGGCAGGGCCTGTCTTGTTCACTGCCACATCCACAGAGTCCAGCCCTGCCTCTGGCACACAGGTGCCCCCAGCACCGGCATCTGAACCCAGCTCTGGCAGATCCCAAGGCTCCTTCTCGGCCTGCTTCCACAGTGGCTCCCCGAGTTAGCACTGGACAGAGCTTCCAGCCCCACAACCCCTGCTGGCCTTTGTGGCTTCAGTGGCTCAGGCAGAGCTTGCAGACCAGGTAGAAACTGACTGTGAAGCCGCCTCTTCCACAGGAAGGATGTGGGGAGCCTCCAGGCAGACCATGACAGCAGGGATGTGGCTCCTCTGAACCCAGAGGAGAAGCAACAGCTGGCCCGACCCCCAGATTTTGAGGCATTCCACTGGAGACTGGCTCTCTGGTATTAGGGGGACATGCAAGGAAAGGAGAGAGGTCTGCTTTGGGGGGGAACAAACCTGTCACCATGTCCTTAGGGGCACCCATGCTAAACAGAGGGGCTCACAGGACAGAAGACTTGAACTTGTTTCTCTTTACTCGGCTGTACCCTTGAAGCATCACTTACTCCTTCTGGGCCAGTTTCCTCATCTGTACAATGGAAACTATACCTCACACACATGCTGAAATGATGGCGCTGGGTAGCTGTGGAAGGGCATGTTTGTGACATCAGGGCCCAGAGCCTGGCTCAGACAGACCTGGGGGTGCGTCCTCAACTCTGTCCCTTCTTAGCCGTGTGCTCTGAGCAGCTCACCCTCCCTCTCCAAGCCTGTGTCCTTGTCTGAAAGAGGGGACAACCTCACTCACTTCACAAAGTTACTGTGCACACAGGGTGAATGGGAGCTCTGGTTACTAAAATGATGTGCCCCAAGAAATGCAGAATTTAGAAACAGCCACCAACTTGTGACTGGTAGGTCCTGCCTTCTGATTGCAGATCCAGGGTCAATAGGTACTTAGGCCCTTTGTCCAAACTTGCTCGGTTCTGCCCCTGCCCCTCTCAGGTCCAAGCGGGATGCCAGTCTCTGATCAGGAGATGATCTTGGCTGGGAGCCAGGCAGAAAGCTCATTCTGAGCCCCAAACCCAGCCCCTCCCAGGAGAGAGGATGCAGGCTCAGACCACTGGTCACCAGGGACAAAGTGTTCCCTTCAGCTTGGCCAATCACCCAAACCAGACTGATATGATGGGCTCTCCAAGGGCAATGGACCAATGCTCCCTTCTCCAGGTGTGGAAACTGAGTCCTTGAGAGGGAAGGGGACTTGTCAAGGGCACCAAGGGAGCTGGTGGCAGAGCTGAGACCAGGGCCCCAGGTGCCTGGCTGACATACTCCTCTGCCTGCAGCCCCCTCCCAATGGAATCAGCCAACCATTTCCTTAAAAACACAGCCATTCCAGTGAAAACATCTGGTTTGGTTAAACAATGAACAAAAATATTGGAGGTTTTTAACCTGAAGGCTTTGGGGGGAGGGAGATACACACCCTCCCCTGAAATAGTCATCATCATGTGTGGGTTGTAGGTTTTTCTGGAAAGGAGTTCTGGACAGAGCTTTCTTCAGGTCCCCACAGGGTCTCTGCGAGGGCTGAGCTAAAAAGTTCTGGGCCTTTCTGAGGGTTCCATGTATCCCGTGTGTCTCCTTATTCAGAGAGGCCAGGATGTGCAACCCGCCCTGGGGCTGCTTCTTGAAACAGCATGGGCACACCACACCACACACACACACACACACACACACACACACACACACACACACACACACCAATGCTCCCAGAGGAGGGAGGGGCAGCAACAGGTCGAAACCTGGAGGCTGCCGTGCTGGCTAGCTGCCATCAAGCGGGGAGGGGCTTCTCGGGGCTCAATGAGAACAGGAGATGCTGACACCCCAAACACAGAGACAGAGGGATCAGGCCAGCCCCCACCGTCTACAGGCTAAGGACTCAAGATACACCAGTGATGCCGGCTCGGCAGCAATGGGGTCTCAGGCTGAGGGATGTGCGTGACATGAGGAGGGTATACACACAGTCACAGCCTCACTCACTCACACACAGACTCATGCATCATACATCACACACACGTGGATACACACACGGATATACAGCCTCACTCATTCACACAGATGCTTGCATCACACAGATACACATCATACTGAAAATACAAACACATATACATGTACACACAATACACAAATATTCTCATAGATACACACACAGCTACATATCCTTATCCACACAGGCATGTACATACACACACACACACACACACACACACACAGTCCAGGCATCTAAATGCTTCCCCAGACACCCCTCACTATAGATTCTCCCCTCTCTGCAGGGGAACATGGGCTACTAACTCCAAAGGCTAGACTGGGCTCCCTGCAGTCCAGGGAGAGAGGGAGAGGGGCAGAGGGACTGAGAATTTGGGGGGGGGCATGGGGAAGTGGGGCGAAGCTTTATTTTCCCACAGGGTTATCTATTCCCTTTCCTAAAGTCTGGTCCTCCTCCCCATCCAGACCCCCCTGCCCTATCCCCGCAGGTGCTTGTCTCACTGTAGTGAGACCCACCCACTGGCTCTCCCATGAGGGGGGCTCTACCCAGACAAATGCAGGAGTGCCCCACAGTGGGAGTGCCCCCCCCCGCGGCATCCACCCTGCACGTAGCAGAAAAACATCTAGGGCACCCCCATACCTGAAGCCCCACCCCCAAATTCAGCAGCCTCCAGTCCTCAGGGAGGTTAAGTACCCACCCAGGTGAGCCCACAACTAAGGCAGCCGTCCCCTTCTGCCAGTGGCGACCCCACCTTTGAGGCTCTTACCTGGGAGGGGGGCTACGCATGTTCCCACCCTCCCCCACCTCACCACCTACCTCCTTCTTGACCGTGCGCAGCAGCCTTTGCCGGGTCTCCGCCCCTGTGGGACAAGACAGCCGGTCAGCAGAAAGCTGGGGCCGGGGCCTGGGGCTGCCCTCCCGCCATCCCTGCGCCCCACACCCCGCGCCCCCTCACCCGCAGGGCCCGAAGCCATGGCTGGGCGCGCGACGTTCCGAGTCCCGGGCGCCTGCAGCGGTGGCGGTGGCGGCGGCTCCTGGGCGCTGGGCTCCCAAGCTGCGGCTGCGTTGGGGCGGGACCAGGCGCCCCAAGACGTCAGGACCCGTCAAGCGCGCGGCCCCGCCCCCCGGAAACACACTGCCTGGCCCCCTGGTTCCCAGCGCGCAGATCCTCCCTGCCAGATGCACATCCTCACTCCTGCACCTCCCCACGAACCCCCACCTTCCTGCCCAACGCCAGTGTCCCCCTTTGGTGGGGCAGGGAAGGACAGCACCTTTATTCAATGTCTGCTGTGTGCCAGGCTCACAGAAAGTGGCCGGAGATGGTGGGGCACTCTCTCTGCACCTCAGTCTTCTCATCTTTAAAACGGGTAGAATGTGATTACTTCATGGGAATGATATGGAACTTAAATGAGGAATCTAAAACACTTAATACAGACGCAGGAGGAACAGTCCAGCGCCTATAAAATGTTCCTGCAGCTGCTACTTTTACCAGTATTATTAATATTATTAATATGGTTACACTATTATCGCTGACAGTGTCACAGGATATACTGACTCCATCCAGGAGAGGCCAGGCCTTAAGTGGCCCACTCCCCCCACCACATGCAGATCACTGGGAGGGCGGGGTCCTCCCAGGAGCCTGTCCCCAATGGGGCGCAGCTGTTAGCCAGGATCTCCACTGTGCAGGCTATGGGCTTGTTCCACCAAGTTTCTGACTACATCCACCCAGAATGCAACTCAGGTCAACAAATATTTCTTGGTCCAGGATCCCGTGCTGGGGTGCTGAAGTGAACAAGACTGACAAAAAGACAGCTCCTCCCTGTGGAGCTTAGGAGGTAGACAACAAACTCAGTAAGTAAATGATATAGTAAGTTGGAAGATTCTGGAGAAAAACAAACTAGATGAGGGAGACAGGGCCGGCCCAGATGGGTGGGGTTTGTATTCTGAGAGAGGCCCCAGTGAGAAGGTGACATTTGATCAAAGAGGAATAGGACTTATCCAACCCAACACTCCCAAGTTCTCTCCTCTGATCCTCTTCTCTTCTCTCACACCCTCTCTCCTGGGTTACCCTCCACCAGACAAACCAGAATCAAACAAACCAGAACACACAACAGGCATGGCCACTACCCAGAAGGCAGCCAGGGCTGGTTTCCACAGCTAACCCTAAGCAGTAACCTGGACACTTACAGGCATCTTCTTTGGAAACACTTATGAGCACAAGGATTTTCTAGGAAAACCCTAGTGAAGCTCTGCAACTTGGAGGAACTAAATTAATGTCTAAATTCAATACAACCCCAAATTAACGGACAACAGAATCTGTAATATCCTGGAACTCAATGCAATGATTCTAAAGTTCATTTGAAAAAAAAAAAAACCAGCCAGGAATTTTCCAGTGCTTAGCAGGTTTAGTTTTTTCTAGTCCTTAGAATTTTTTTCAAGATGTAGCAAACTGAACATTGTTGTTCCCGGAGCACCGTGGACAGTGCAGAATTGCGTTTAGCATTAGAGCTGAGGGTGCATGCTGGTTTCTATGAGCTAATACTGCCATTTCAAAGCAGTGGGTAAGATCAGGATTGCTCAAGAAAAAGTGTCAGATAACGATCTCTCTCTTAATTAAAGTGGGTATTCAGTGTGTGCAGCAAAGATTTAAATGTCAAACAAGGCAATTATAAAAATATTAAAAGAAAGAACTTGTGATTTAAAAAAAATTTAAGTGCAAGGCCAAAGAAACCCAGTGAGCTTGGACACACGTATACACTTTTATCTATCCCCTCCTATACCAAGCTTCCCTGCATCTCACCATATCCATCTTTTTCTCTGTAAGCAGTCAACAAAAAACTGATACGGCAAATACCATTTAAAAAAAATGGCCCAAAATATTTGAAAGCTTACAAATCACTGTGAATCCACTTGCAGGAATCTGCCTAGAGGATTTCAGATGAGCCTTGGCTTGAATTTAAGGACAGTTACAGCAGCTAAAATTTAGCTATACTGGCAATAGCAGGGATTTGGTTGAAGTATTAAGTGGTAAGGGCATACGTTTCTGAATTTCCAAGTGCATGTCATTTAGTAAGGTCACCTGGAAGGTTCATCTGAGGATGGTTGATGGTCGAGACAAGGGGCAGGGGGGTGAGGGGGTGGCAAGAGATCGGGCAGACACCCTGGCTGGTGTGGCTCAGCTGGTTGTGGCATCCTCCTGTACACCAGGAGGTAGCAGGTTTGATTCTTGTCCAGGCACATACCCAGGCTGTGGTTCGATCTCCAGTAGGGGCACATGTGGGAGGCAGCCGACTGATGTTTTGCTCTCACCTTGATGTTTCTCTCTTCTCTCTACTCTCTCTCTCTTTTCTTCTCTCAAAAAAGAGATCGGGCAGAGGGGCCCCACTCCCATTCCACTGAGACTCGGTGGGTCTGAGACCCTGCCAGATGCAGCTCAACATCGGCCTAATTTGGTCCAGGATGGACATGGTGCCCGAAGAGGCTGGCCCTGCAGGGTTGAAATAGGAGTGGGCACAGCACCTACCCTTCGTTAGAGTACCTGAACAGCCTGAGCTGGACAGAAGTTTCAATATGGTTTAAATTTGTTATCCCTGCTGTGTATGCATTTCTGGATTCTCTTATCCTGTATCCACTTGGTATTCGTGCAGCAGAACCCACAGCTGTGCTGAGAGGGTCTTGCTTTTATGATCTCCAGTGGGTCCCCTGCTGACCAGCACTCACACGGCACCATCCAGGTTCATTCATTTCATCTGAACCTCATGCACCTCTCCTTGTCTTCACTCAAGCCTCAACCTTCCACCCTCCTCCTCCATCCTAATTCTCAATGAGACAAATAGAACATCAGAACAAAACTTCAACATCTTCCCCTACCACACTTCCCTCCCTGAGACCCTAAGGTACTAGGTCTGCTTCTACCTAAAGAAAATATCTCCACTTACACCCAGATATCTCCGGCCAGATCCCTTCCTGCACGGCCTAATACCCCACGGACGTCTCACACTCCTGACTTGCCCTCCTACACATGTCGCACTTCATTTGAAGAAGTCCCATCCTTCCAGTTTCCCAGGCAAAAGTCTTTCGATTCATCCCAGACCCCTCTTTTTACCTCAAACCCTTCACAGAAACAACCAGGAGATACTGTTGCCTCTGCCTTTCAAGACTAGCCAGTATCTGACAAGTTCTCATCACCTCTTTACTACCTCTGGTCCAAGCCACCAGCTCCCCCTGCTGGACACTGCAAGTGGTCGCCTTACTGGTCTGGCTTTTGCTGGGGTCTTCCCCTCAATCGGTTCTCAACACAGAACCAGGTAAATTGGTTCATGTGGTTCCTGTTCCCACCACCCCATGAGGGTTTCTGTTTTCATAGAGAAAATTCCCTCAGATGCCCTCCCCCACCGACTACCTCTCTGATTTCTCCTGCTTCTCTCCCCCTCGGTCTGCTTTGCTCCAGCTGCCCTGGCCACCTTATTCTTCCTTGGACATTTCTACCTGAAGAATTTGCTGTCTTTCCTCAACCTATAGCTCATGTAACCTTGTTAACTCACTGACTTGTTTCAAATCTTTGATTCTTACCAAGACTCCTTTTGATTCTCACCTGTCTGCCATTAATTAATGCAACCAGCCCCCTGCATACCCCACCTTCCTAGTAACTCTCCATTTCCGTTATTTTGCTATTTTTTTTCTGCATTTCCCTAGCAATGGCCACACTATGGCTATAGACATTATTTGTTGTTTTTATTTGATGTCACTGGAATGTGAGATTTTTAAGGGAAGGTCCTTTGCTTTAGGCCCTGGCAGTGTCTGGCACATGGCAGGCATACAACAACTTGTAGATGATGAATAAACATAGAGATAAGCTACTCTTTATTTCTGCTTCCAAACGCAGACCCAGCCCCCTGGTCAAATCCAGCCTGAACTCCAGCCGCTGCAAGAGCAAAGCCAAGTGGCTGAGTCTGAACAACCTAGAGGAGCAGAGGGAGCATCTCAGTCTCCAGGTAAAAAGAGGAAAGAAGATGGATATGGTGAGGGGCAGGGGATGCTTGATACAGGAGGGGTTAGATGAGTGTATACGTGTGTCCAAGCTCGCCAAATTGCATACATTAATTATGTACACATTTTTGCACACCAGTTGTGCCACAATAAAGCTGGCTGGGTGGGAAAGATACAAGGTAAAGAGTCTATTGCAGTGATGGCGAACCTATGACACGTGTGTCAGAGGTGACATGCGGACTCATTTTTTGGGTTGATTTTTCTTTGTTAAATGGCATTTAAATATATAAAATAAATATCAAAAATATAAGTGCTTTGTTTTACTATGGTTGCAAATATCAAAAAAATTTCTGTATGTGACACGGCCTAGAAATAAGTTAGGGTTTTTCAAAATGCTGACACGCCGAGTACAAAAGGTTCGCCATCACTGGTCTATTGGGTTTCACAGCATGGACTTTATCCCCAAGAGCAAATTGTGGATCCGTTGGGAATTGAAGTCCAGGTGGAAGGCACTGAAAAAAATGTAGCAATATTTGCTATGAAAAAGGAGAAAGGAAATGGTATAGTAGATGGAGGAGGATTTTTAAAAATTAGAGAATAATATATATTTATCCTGGTGGAAATCACCCAATAGAGAGGGAGAAATATAACAGAGAATGTACAAGAAAGAAGAACAAAATCCCTGAAGTTGAGGTCAGAATCCATAGCTCAAGTAGAGGGACTGGCTTTTCTTCCGAGCAGGACACACCCTCCGTGGTAATCAGACAAGCACAATGTACGTCTACGTCTACGGGAAGAAGGTAATGTTAGTGGATTCCCGTCTGAGTTTTCATATTTCTCAGTGAAGTATGAAGCAAGATCATAGGCTGAGCTAGATGGAGGGAGGAAAGGAGAGGGAAGTAGAGGAGATTTGAGAAGAGATGAGAAGGTATGAGAGGGTGGTTTTTGCTGGGTAGGAAGCAAAACTAGGAACTTGGGCTGGTGTTTCAGTGGTTTAATGAATTAGGCCTGTGATCCTCAATGT